GTGGCTCATGCCTGTAATCCTGGCACTCTGGGAGGCCAAAGTGGGAGGTCTATTTGAGCTCAGGAGGTTTGAGACCAGCTTGAACAAAGAAAGACCCCATTCCTACTAAAAATAGAAATATTAGCCAGGTGTTGATGGCAAGCACCTGTAGACCCAGCTCCTCAGGAGCCTGAGGCAGGAGGATTGTTTGAGCCCAGGAGATGGAAGTTGCTGTGAGTTAGGGTGAAGCCATGGCGCTCTAGCCAGGTGACAGAGTGAGACTCTGTCTCAAAAAAAGAAAAAGAAAGAAAAGAAATGAAACCCTAAGTTACTTAATCTTCATTAGAATTTACATTTTTCTCAAGCTCAATTTGTCCAATGAATTAAGTACCCAATGTTATCCAACCAGAATATTTAGATACATCTGAGGTAGTAAACCTTTTTTTGTAAACCTTTACCTTGTCTGCTTCCCATAAATTACATCAGAGGGGAAAGTGTCCGTTCAGAGAAATGTACTGATGAATAATTTGCATTTGTATATTTTCCCTAAGGAAAACTAGAATCATCAGGCCAACAAAAATGGGCCTATTGTGCTGAAGTACAAATTGAGTTCAAAAGCAGACACAGCTGGTTCGGATAATGACCACCGTGGTGCACCTTTATTGCTTCACGAGGTGCCATGAAGAGGCACCTCTGAGAGGTGTGGTGAGGATGGAAGCCCCACCCAGGTAGATCAGGAGTCTGGACTGGAGGGAAGAACTTGGCACACCCCTGTGCTGCGATGTGAGCATGTTTGATATAGGTAGAAGACAGCCATCACGTTTTGATCCACGTGTATTTTGCTATAACAGAATAGCTCTCTGCATGGCTACAGCTGGACAGGTGTTCCGTGTGCTGACCTGGGTTTACCTGTCGGAGAAAGACATCAGGAGCTCAGCATATAGCAGGTCAGAACATTACGTGTGATTGTTTACTCATTTATCTGTTAATTTGTTTATTTAGCAAATATTGAGTGCTCATGATAATCTAGATGTCAGCATTATAGTAGGGAAAACAAGCAGATAACATCTCTACCCTTGTAAAGGGTTTATATTCTACAGGGAAGAGGGACACTAAAGAAATAGTTTGAGCAAATTAGCAAGACATCTGCAGAGCCATCTCGTAAGGGCAGTAGGGACGAAAGAGACAGTACGAGTCCTGTGGGAGGAGGACTCTCTGAGGATGTCACACTTGAGCTAAAACGTCACCGTGTGGATTAGTCAACCAGTGTCAAGGACAGGGAAACACACCGGGGAGAGGGGACAGGGAGTACGAAGCCCCAAAGACAAAGACCGGGCATGTGTGGGCAGCAGGAGGGAGAGTGGGATGGCAGGACACTGGGCAGCCCAGGTGGGGCCCAGTCACTCGGCACCTGCCACCACTGTCCTCACGCAGACTACTGCAACTGCCCACTGGCTGGAATGGCAGTGGCTGGGACTAGAGTCACCACAGTGAGAGCAGGAGGACAGGAAGGGCTTACGGTGTGTTTTAGACTAAGAGTCACCTGACTCCGGGATGGGCTGGAAGTCAGGGACCAGGAGAAGAGAAGAACCAAGGATGACTCAGGCTCGAGCAACTGAATGAATCATGGTGCCAAGTTCTGAGGCTTGAAAATCAAGTAACTGCTGGACCTCACTCGGCTTGGATAGTTAACTGATCTGTGTGAGGTCACTTTCAGAGAGTTTGTTTTTTGTTTTCAATCTGTGAAGTACAGTTATTAAGTTCAACTTCTAAGATCTCAGGTTGTTAACGCAGAAACATCCTGAGGGAGGGGCAGAGTTAAGTAATATTGTCAGAACCTAGTATTTTTGATAAATGCTACTATGGTGCAGTGAATCTTTTCCCTCACAAAGCAGAGGTAGCCGGAATCTTCCAGGTGTTTTGTCTCCAGAGTACAAAAGCCAAGGTGATTATGTGCATTTTCTCTTGGCCACAATATTTTTGTGGAGTTTCATGACAATAGGCAGTTTCTTCTGCCGAGTGAGATAGGAACATAAGCCACCTCTCACGACCCTGGGCTAAAACTGCAAAGCCCAAACAGACAGTACGTTGCTGATGGTATCCTGGTTTGTTTCAGATCCTTCCTGCCCTCCCCCACCCCTCTGCTGCCACAGGTGCTCTGCTTTGGACACGTTATTTCTCTAGGCCCACATTGGCTCCACCAAGGATGGAGAGAGGGGAATGGGGACATTCCAGTCATCCAGAACACTGCCGCTCATTCTCATTCTGCCATCTGGGGCTCACCCACTGGGCCAAGCCTAGGGCTCTATCTACTAACCCCAGTACTTCTCTGAAGTCTGCACCAGGAGGGAGATTTTAATTTACCCATAGAAATAATGGGATTGTATTCTTGGCAAAGGTATGTCATAAATTTTAAACACATCCAAGAGCATGTGAGTAGAGTCGGCCCTCCATATCCATAGGTTCCAAATGCTTGGATTCAAACAATCTCAGATTTGGCTCAGTGCCTGTAGCTCAGTGGTCAGGGCGCTGGCCACAAACACCAGGGCTGGTGAGTTCAAGCTCAGCCCGGGCCTGCTAAACAACATATGACAACTGCAACAACAAAAAAATAGCCAGGCGTTGTGGTGGGTGCCTGTAGTCCCAGCTACTTGGGAGGCTGAGGCAAGAGAATTGCTTAAGCCCAAGAGTTTGAGGTTGCTGTGAGCTATGTGATCTTATGGCACTCTACTGAGGGCTGAGTGAGACTTTTTTGTTTGTTTCTTTGTTTTTGAGATAATCTCAGATTAAAAATAGTCAATATTCAGGGGAAAAAGAAATAAAAATAATCTGACAATAAAAAGGACAAATAAAAACAATACAATGTAACAGCTATTTACACAAATTTATGTTGTATCACGATTTAAAGTGTACAGGAAGATCCAGGCATGGTGGCTCACGCCTGTAATCCCAGCAGTCTGAGAAGCTGAGGTGGGTGGATTGCGTGAGGCGAGGAGTTAGAGACCTGAGCAAAAGCAAGACCTTGTCCCTAAAAGAAATAGCTGGACATTGTGGGGGGTGGCTATAGTCCCAGCTACTTGGGAGGCTAAGGCAAAAGGATCATTTATGCTCAAGAGTTTAAAGTTGCTGTGAGCTATGATGCCAGAGTGAATGAGAGTCTCTCAGAAAAATAAATAATAATAATAATAATAATAAAGTACATAGGAGGATATGTATAAGTTATATGCAAATACTGTGCTATTTTATATTAAGGACTTGAGCATCCATAAGTTTCGGCACCCTCAGAGCCGACTGGAGCCAGTCCCTAGCAGATACCACAGGATGACTGTTTAGCAAAGAGAGATGACTCTAAATCTCTCATCAGCTGGCCCTTTATTGGACTCTAAACCCCTCCCACATTTAGGATGGAGCTGGAACATATTCTTCTTAGTAAAGTATCTCAAGAATGGGAGAAAAAGTATCCAGTATACTCAGTACTATTACGAAACCAATATATAATCACCCACACTTCCATACGGAAGATAAAACACAACTATAGCCCAGGATGAAGGAGCGAAGAAGGGGGGGAGGGGAGGGGCGAGGCCGGGGGGAGGGAGGGTCGGTGGTGGGACCTCACCTCTGGTGCATATTGTAAGGGTACGTGTCAAATCTATTCAGAATAGAGTATAAATGTCTCAACACAATAATTAAGGTGAAGGCTGTGTTAACCAGTTTGATGTAAGCAGTCCAAATTGTAGAAAAATCAGCACATTGTACCCCATAAATGCATTAATGTACATGGTTATGATTTAATAAAAAAAATTGTTAAAAACACATTAAAACAGTATAAAAACAAAAAAAAAAGTTCAACTTAAAAAGCCTCACATGGGACAGACACTGTCTTGCAGAACAAGGACGGAGCTGTCCCAGGCGGTGCAGCAGTGCCCCGCTGTCCTCAGGGACTCTGGCTCTTCCCGTCCTCCTCATATTGCCTTGACCCTGAGGCACAAAGCCTCGTAGCTGCAAGGTGCTGCCACGGTGCTGGGGACACATGGGCCAAAGACATGGGCCGGTTCCTGCTCTGTTGTCTATTTTAATGAGAAAGTTTTTCTAAACGCCCCCAGCAGACATTCCCTGAGTCCTGGTCCGTGGGGTACCCAGTTTTTCCCATTAGGTATAGGGCATCATCTTACACTTCTCTCCTCCTCCCTCATTCCTTCCCTTTATTCCTTTCATCCTCTCCGACTATCCACGTTGGTCTGTAAGATTCTGTTGCCTGGCAGGGTGTGGTGACTCATGCCAGTAATCCTGGAACTTGGGGGGGCCAAGTTTAGAAGATCATTTGAGGCAAGAGTTTGACACCAGGCAGGGCAACATATAGAGACTTTGTCTCTACAAAAAATTTAAAAATTAGCTTGGTGTGGTGGCATGCAACTCTGGTCTCATCTATTTGGAGCTGAGGCAAGAGGACTGATTAAGGCCAGGAGTCTGAGGCTGCAGTGAACTATGATTATACTACTATACGCTAGCTTGGGCGACAAAGCAAGACTCTGTCTCAAAAAACAAAACAAAACAAAACAAAACCTGTTGCCTACCCTCTAATCCCCATGTTTATTAATCCGGTTGTGGACCTCACCCTACCCTCATCCTCCCCACTTGCAACTGGGACTCACAGAAACTCCACAGTATTGAGAAGTTTAAAATGTGGATCACTTGTCTGAGGCTTCAAACTGATTTGGATTCTCTCCTAATCCTTTTAAATATGATATGCATTTAAATTAAGAGTAGCAGAAACAAAATGATTTAGGAAAATGAAATGTTATCCTAGCCTATTTCAGTGACACTCTAACATGGTTAAGGAAATTGACTGTCAGATTTGATCATTGCTGTTGAAGTAAACGGCCATCATTCCCAGCAGGGCTGGAGTCCAATTCTCACCCGGCAAGAGCAGTTTTAATGACTGAAGAATCCAGTAACCACAAGAAGCAACAACCTTCAATGCTGTGCTGTGCCCCACACTGCCTCTCTCTTGTGTTTTGCAGGCACGACATGTTTGATCGCTCTACTGTCAGATAAAGACCTCACTGTGGCCAACGTGGGGGACTCAAGAGGGGTCCTATGTGACAAAGACGGGAACGCCATTCCTTTGTCTCATGACCACAAGCCTTACCAACTAAAGGAGCGAAAGAGGATAAAAAGAGCTGGTGAGCTTGTGAACACCTCCCAGGAATGTCTGCCGTCTTGCACGGGCGAGGAGTCTTGCTTAGGGGTCTCCTGAAGGATAAAATGTTTGGTGCCCAGTGATTAGGTCAACCCAGAGGCTGCTGGAGGTAGCTGAGACTTGACTTGGTACTCAATCTGCCCTTCTTCATGGCCAAGGACTCCAAAAGGTCCCAAACAATCCCTTTCCAGTTTAAAGACCAGTAAGACCTTCGGGCCCCTGGTACTCACCTTGTTTTACACCTGCTTCCCTCCAGCCATGGCACAGTACAAACCATTCCCCCAAAGAACCTCCCATCTGCTCTCTCTGTACCTTTGCAAGTGTTATTCACATTGTGTAAGTGGGTGACAATTATTTGCCCCGTAGGATTCAAGTTAAAGTGTCCTTTAGGAAACATTCCCTGTTAAGCTGTAGAAAATGGAATAGGTAGATGTTAACAAAGAAATAAGTAAAAGTCAGTTAGTTGAATAGAGTAAGGAGAGATAAGCGGGTAAGGGGCAGGGGGTGTCAGGGAGTTGCGTTTTTAAGTAGCATGAGGCCTGTAGGCCGTACTAAGGTGACATTTGAACAAAGATTTGAAGGAAGGTTATCAATCGATTATCATATTTACGTAATTAGATGTGGGGGGCTCGCTCCCCAGACTGGCAACTGCGGCATGTCAGCCCGTCATGACTTCCCAGGCAGCAGGCCAGCTGCCGTGGGGAGAGGGCAGGCCGCTCCTGCGTGCTGGTCTCTGCCCAGGATGCACCCCTGCTGTCTGGGTTAATCTGCAGATCAACTTGCCATCTCCACGGGTCAGCTTCTGTCCAAAGAATGAATGAAATGAACCTAATCGACATTTGAGTTTTCACAGTAAGAAGCTGTGCTATTGAGTCAAAATGTGTTGAATTCTATTACAACCTCCTGCTTCAGTGACTGCTTGAGATGCAGAATAATTTTTAATGAAACCTTTAGTCAGGTTTCCTGTCAATGGGTTGGAACTAACGATGCTTTAGGAGCATCTGTTAAGCTTGCTGAGCTCCAGGCAGAGTGACCAAAACACTCTGGCTTCCTCACTTCAGGTGTCCTGTGTGAGCCTGGACTTCAGCTCCAGTCAGCCAACTCTCCCGTAAGCACAGGCGAGGATGTGGAAAGGTCATCGCAGCATTCAGCTCTGTCTTCCAAAATGTCATGGCCATATTCTCCTCTCCCCCTTCTCTGCCATACCCACCTCCCCACCCCCACCCTACAGTGATTCTTTTTTTTTTTTCCCCACCAAACTTCAACTTTATTTGTCAGAAGGCCAGCAATTCTGGAGAACAGCGAGAGTAGCCTCTCCAAGACTGTTCTGTTCTTCCATTTCCAAAAATCACAGTTTTATACATGAAAGTTCAAAGTAAAAACCATGTTAATCTTTATCTCAAACAACAATAATCAGCATAATGTAAAACCCATGACCCATAATAAACAGTAAATGACATAATCCATGGCCCAAAACAACATTCCCATTCAAAAATTAATTCCCTAAAGTAATCCTCCTAAATTACTCAAGATGGGCACCTTTAATGTGGGAGCTAAATTTACAAAACAGTAAGAATTGGAAAAGGAGGGGAAGGTCAATAGGACCTAACCTGACCAGACTAGCTGTGTCCTGTGGGCTCTGGTCTGACTGGCTTTCATTGGGTGGAAATAGGACAAATGGAGGGGGAGAAATCGATTGACTTGAAGATTAACCTGGGAGACACGTGTTTATGACCCAAATGATTTGCCCAGGTCCACCTTCATCCCAACCCTCATTCCTGATGTATTTTGAGATATCACAAAAGGAGAAGAGCAGTCAATCGTCCCCTTTGAGCAGCCAGTACATAAGACATGTTACTCTAAGGGCAAATGACACAATTAGGTGATTTAGGAAGACAAACAGGCACCATTGTCAGACTCATACATGCTTATGGTTATTATGTCTTCCTGGTAAATTGAACAAATTCTTGTGGATACACAGCAGTTGTATATCTTTATAGGGCACCTGTGGTGTTTTGGGTTTTTTTTTTACATATACATGTGTTTATTAGGTTTCTACTTTTTGCCTTCACAAAATTAAAAAGGCTTAAAATTTAATAACAATAACAATGTTTAAGATAAGGACTAGAAACAAAAACCTTGTAAAGAACTAATGAAGATAAATACATTCAGAAATCAGATGATTGTTGCACTGAAATATTACGCAATAATAATAATAATAATGCAAAGAAAGTAGCATTCACATTGTCAAATAACAGTCTGTTATAGAATGCTTTGACTCTGAGGTTCAGTATGGAGTCATCAGTTAACTTCTTATTTTTTTTTTTTTTCCAAAGTCTCAAAAATTCTTTATAGAAGCAAATTTGGACACCATTTTCCAAGGTTACTCTAACCTGCTCTGTTCTTTTCTGTAATTTGGTCGAGGGCATAATTTACAGCAGGGCTTAAGGAACAAAGATTGGTTTTCTCTGACCCCCGCCTACCTTTCAGGACTTATTTCCCCTTTCTGCTTAGTGTAACAATAAGCTCCAGCCAGTCCGGGCCAAATACACGCAGCTTCTCTGTCTCCAGCCCTTAATCTGTTTCCGATAACAACCACATCAGCTGCATTCACCGTGTGCTTGCTCTGAGCCAGGAGCCAAGCCCAGCTCATTACACACGTTCTCTGTACCTGTCGTATGAGAGCGATAATATTATCGCCCCTTTACAGCCAATAAACTGGAACCTCAAAGAGGCCCATGTACCCAACACACAGCTGGTGAATGTGAGACCAGAACTGAAACCCAGGCTGGTGTGACCCAGAGCCCGTGCCCTGGCCCACTGGTCCATACTTTCTGGAATGTTATCCTACATTTCTGCCCATAGAAGTCCTACCCATCCTTCAAAGCCCAATTTTAATTCTCACCCCTGCCTGATCATCA